AGGGTGGCAATAATGTATATACAGTACTCATGCATGGAATTCTCGTAACAATAAAAATGATAAATTCAAGAGAATGACCATGCCCTACCACTGAGTCTCCGTGGGAAGTAGTATAGCATCCATGGGTGCCTAGTAGAAAATAGAACTGTCCTCATCACATGGGTCATGCATTTCACAGTGGTCATCCAGTACTTTCACTTATTCATCCCAGTGCTCACAAAATCCCATTCAGAGGGTTGGAGCTGCACTTGTTTCCTATATGCAATAGCTTTCAGTGTGGTCGTTCTTGTGTACTAAATACCATGTGGTTTTCTTTGATAGCTCAAAAACCTTAGAGAGTATTTCTACACATTCCCAAATGATTGAGGTCAAAAATGTTCACTTTCATACCTCAAAGATGCCCAGTATGGACAGCATATGCACATGTGCATGCACACACACAACTTTCTATGCATCTCTTTAAAATAGGAATTGACTGCCAAGCACTTGTGAAAAGCTTCTAATGGGGAAGAAATAGCAGATACCAACAGAACACTTATCAGAAAGGTGTGTGTGTGTGTGTGTGTGTGTAACATAGAAAATACTTATTGGGAAAATACCCACAAGATGAAAGAGGAGAGAAGAAAGAAATAAAAGGATAAAGGGAATGAGGAAAGGAACGGAAGGAGGGGAGAAATAGAAGGAGATATGGAGGGAGGGAAGGAGGGAGAACCCAGGCATTCCTGTATATGTGTGCTTACTCGCAATAAGGGAATGGAATCACAATGCAGTGAAATGGGGCGAAACCCAATATCCACCAACAAACAAAGACAATGGACACTAGGTTTTTAGAGGACCTGTGCACTAGAAAGGAGATGAGAAGAAGGGAGGAAGAAAAACTAATGGAGTGGGCTATAGGTGAGTGGGATATATATATAATAGGAGGAAAGAAGGGGCTCTTTGGGGACAGAGGGGAACCAGATGAAGGGAGGGGTACACGGAGCAGGTAGCTGGGGAAGGGAATAAACTAAAGAAAGTATAATGGTCTGAAGATGCTATGATAAACCTATTACTTTTATACTACTCTAAAAATACCTCTTAAAAAGTAATAAAAGAGAAAGAAATGAAATAAAGGAAACCAAGAAACAGAAAAGGTAAGAGAGAGAAATATATATGTGTGTGTGTGTGTGTGTGTGTGTGTGTGTGTGTGTGTATGTATGTGTTTGTATGTGTATATATACTATATATATGTATATGATAGATAAGTTGTTTTTCAAAGTCTAGGAAAAGCATTATGTTTATTATGTATATTAAAGGTAAATATGCCAGTGTAAATACTGATGGTGACGCTGCACTCTTTAAAATTAGTTTTGTATAATTTATCAGAATTGAACTTAAAATAGAAGCAAACAGCAAGGTTAAACTATGAGGACAGATACAAGATGTGCTAGGTAGATATTAACCACAAAGGGCCCCATTGCTTTTCTGAGTTTTCTTTAGCTATGTCAGTAGCGTGGTTTTATTAATAGTGCTGCCCCAATGCTTTATGAACCATAAACTATGGTCTATTCTTCCATAAAGCAGTGAAAGAGTTATGGTAAATGTTCCAGTTTGAAGACTGTTTTGTTGATTTTTACATAAGATACTCACAATGTTTACTTTCATGTAGTACGAAGATTATAATTAGGTACCTGGGGGATTAGAAATACTATTCATATTTACCAAGATATCAAAAAAGCATTTAGTACAATTTATTATCAATAATATCTCCTTTTTTGGTTTTTTGAGACAGGGTTTCTCTGTGTAGCTTTGGAGCCTGTCCTGGAATTCACTCTGTAGCCCACGTTGGCCTCGAACTCACAGAGATCCACCTGCCTCTGCCTCCCAAGTGCTGGGATTAAAGGCATGCGCCACCACTGCCCGGCCAATAATATCTCTTTTTAAAGTTTAAAATTATATCAATATGGTTATCTCAGTATTTTTATTAATTTCTTAGGTTTTTAATCTTGAATTTATATCCTTGATATATATTGGTTTTAGTTGCTGGCTTTGTTAAGAATCTAGGTTGAATTTATATTACCTGTCTAATAATCTCTTTAATAACAGACTCCTATAGTGATATTATATATATATATATATTATATTATATTATATATGTATATAATATGTCTTATATTCCTAACATTTATACTTGGATTGACCTGTCATTCATTTTGATGTTTTTTAATTACCTTGCTTCTTCATATCATGTGTGTTGATTTCTTCCCTACTACTGTATTAGTAGGCAAATTTAGTAACATTAAAAAATATTATTTTTTAACCATTCAAGGCTGTAAGATCACATCAATTCCAAATAAATTTTCCACTCATTTAAAATATTTTGATTAATTGTTTTAGCTTCACAATTTTAACTTCCAAAGTTAGTAAATCTGATTACCATTCTATTAGTATCTGTGTAGATTCACTTTTGGTAACGGGAGTTGCTGCCTTTCATTATAATGTACCCTTTTTATTTTTCTTGGGTGACAACTCAAAAAATTGCAATGCTATGGTCCTTTAAAAGGGTTATTTTTTATTTACTATTTCTTGTCTTTAGTTTTGAGTTATAATCTGAATGCTTGTCCAGTAACAACTGGTAATTCCTATCAACACAGTGTTTAACCTTATTCTAACAATGCTCTCTTTTGTTACCATAAACAAAACCATTAGTCTGGTATCAGTTTCTTTTTTGCCAGAGATTAAATGATATGATATATCTTTTTCCTATTTTACTTCTCTCTCTCTCTCTCTCTCTCTCTCTCTCTCTCTCTCTCTCTCTCAAAATGCTTTAAAAACGTCTTCATTTTTGACCTCGTTATCCGAAGTTTCATTTATTAACATCTTAGAATGCATCGTTTATTTGTATTAACCATAATTTGGTAAGCTCTGTGAATTTGAGGACTCGTCTCACCTGCTCAATTGCTGGAATGTGGGTGTTACTAACGCCTGGTCTCAAATGTTTGTTTTGGAAGTTGCTTCTTCCCTCTACTTCTAGTTTTCTGGAAATCTCATTCCATCTTGTTCTCACATTTTCCTCTAATTATCGATCTCTTTCAGCCCATACAATTTTACCTTCCTGAGGTCTTTACTGATAATTTTATGATATTGAAAGTTATTATTATGTTTTTGCTTTCACCTTGTGTTAAAAATGGGGATAGTGATAGATATCTCAATGGATAGAGTGCTCGCTATGCAGCATTCATGAGAACATGAGTTGAGATCCTGAGCAAACCACGAAAAACCCAGGCATGAAGATGCACAAACTAGAACTCAACACTGTGGATGGGTGTAGTGGGGATAGATCTTGGGGGCATGCTGGCTATGAAGTCTAGCTCAAGGAGATATCTCTAATGTCAATGAGAAAATCTATCTTTTAAAAATAAGTTGCAACCCCCTACTCCCTTGGCACTCAGGAGAGATAGCTCCAGCCCCCACCATAGGTATGGGAGAGCTGGTCCTGATGACATTGGCCTAGGAGGCAGTCCCAGGGGCCCAAAGGTACCAGCTCAGCTTCTACCCAGACCTGGTCCAGCAGAATGATAACCACAGGATCTCCATGACTCAGGGCAACAGCAGGATATCTGAGAACAATTCGCCAGAGGGTCCAATGATGATGATGTCCCAGAGGCCTTGAACCAGACCAACAACTCATTGGTTCATTGCGATGAACATTTTGCAGGTGGGACCGATTAGAAAAGGTGTAATGCGTGACACACTACAGCTCCCATTGACACTGGGATGAATGATGAGGTGTTGGAAAGGCCGAAGAGCAAGGTGGGTTTTTGTTTGTTTTGTTGTGTTTTTAATTAATTTATGTGGGGGGGGGCATGCTGCAGTGGTGAGATATGGAGGGACTGGGAGGTGAGCGGGATTGCGGTGCATGATGTGAAATTCCAAAACAATCAATAAAGAATCATGTTTTTAAAAGTAGCTTAGCACTGACCCCTAATCTTCACTCACACACTCATGGGCAAACAAACCCACACACATGCACATATATATAACACACATTCAAAGTCATACATATTAGGTATAATAATATTTAGTAACTTGGACATGGATGATAGTTTCAAGCATTCCATATCTCTCCTATAGGCTTATATTTTATGGTGGTTGATTTCGTGTGCGTGTGTGTGTGTGTGTATGTGTGTGTTTGTGTGTGTAATGAGGATCTATTTATAAGGCTGGAGAAATTCTATGAAGTCTATGTTGCTGTTATACTATTTTGTTGTGTGTTTTGTCTTTTTCTAGCAAGTCTTCAGTATCAGCAAATTATAAAACAAACAATCAAATTCAAGCCAAGTCACCTCCTCCTCCCCCTTCTTCTCCTCCTTATTTTTCTTCCCTCTTCCCTTTGTCTCCCCTCCTTCTCCTCTTGTAGGCAGAAGTTTCTGTCTCACTCCCAAGTAACCAACATGGAGACATAATATATATTAATATGTATTGATATAACATAATATAAATGCTAACCTGATAGCTCAGGCTTGTTACTAACTACCTCTTACAACTTAAATTAACCAATTTCTATCAACCTATCAATTTCTGCATGGCTCTTGGGTTTACCTTTCCTCCAGCATCTCTTGCTCCCTCTGTGTTACCTGATGATTTACATGTAGTTCACCCTCCTTCCTCCCAGCATTCTCAGTTTAGCTCTCCCACCTATACTTTCTGCCTGGCTACTGGCCAGTCAGTTCTTTACTAAACAATGAGAGTAATGTATATTCACAGGGTACAGAAGGATTATTCCACAGTATTTCCCTCTTTTGTTTAATTAAAAAAGGAAGGTTTTAACCTTAATATAGTAAAATTTTTATATAACAAAACAATTACCAGTTAAAAGTTACAGTTACAATATCCAATCCATTTATACTTGGCAAAATTAGAGAAAATACTTTATTATCTATCTTACTATCTATCTATCACCTTGGTAAGTCTAAAATTTCACATCTAATTTACCTTGTTATTACTTGTTTGCAGTATTCTGTGAAGCTGGATCATCTCAGTCAATAATCTTAAAGCAGGTCTGGATGCTGGATCACCTGGGCCATCTTTTTATATTGGTGTCAGGTCCCTTGTTCTGAAAATATATAAACTTTTAAAGGTAAAGTACATATCTGTATTCATACAAGTATAGACTACACATTGTACACAAATCATCCAAAGATGATTTTTTTTGTTTTACTTGTTTTTCTAGGTTTATTTCTTTATGTCTATAGCCAGGATTTCAGAGCATCTTCCTTGATCAAACCTGATCATCTTTAAACTTGAATGAATCCACAGCCTCTCATTTTCTGTGGAAATAAGAGCATAATCTTTTACCCAAAGCAACACATCTTTTGACTTCCATTTTGAAGTCAAGACATTTTTTAAATATATGGGTTGGTTTAATCCGGCAGCATTTATAATCAAATGTCCCTTACCAGCTATTGCTCCTTCCTTGGCAGGCAAAAAATTCAAAGACAATACAATAACATATAGTATCTAGATGCTCTGTGTATTTTATTTCTTTTGTGGCTTTTTTATACTACTTTACTCCCTTCTTAAGGACGTTATTATTTTAAAACTATATCTTTTAATCTAAGACCATGTATACTCTTTCTCTTTTCTCTCCCAAGCCTATGTACATTTTTAAACACACTGTATCTTGTTTAGAAGCGTTTTTTTTTCCCCTGTCTGGATATGTCTTACTGAGCATCTGTATTGGTTTTTTTTTTTTTTATCACATTAGTCAAATCTTAAACTGCTATGTCAGCTACCAATATTGATCAGATTAGCATATGGCAGTAATGCATACTGGTTTGCAGCTGGCTCCCTTCTGTAGGCAGATGCCATGATCTGCTTTTCTGTACTGCAGGTGGTGTGAGAGAATATGGAAACATGCTACTCAGCTTAGCTCATGGCATGCTGATAGTTCAAGCCCATATGTAGTGGCCAGGAGATGCATCCCTGTACTGTGGTACATGTGTTGACACATGAGAGACACAAGACTAGGAAGCTGCTCTTGGCTCCATTTCTGTGTGTCTAGAAACCTTTCTCAAGCTCTCTTAGGTTTTATGTGGAAGTAGTTGCCTCACATTTAGGAGCCATTTGCAGGCAGAAGTTTCTGTCCCAAAGGCCATTCCCAAGTAACCAACATGGAAAATATTTATAATTGTAAATGCTTGCCCAATAGCTCAGGCTTATTATTAACTAGCTCTTACAACTTAAATTAACCAATTTCTATTAATCTATCTATTTCCATTTGTCTCTTGGATTTACCTTTCCTCTAGCATCTCTTGCTCTTCTGGATTTCCTGCTGACTACACTGAGTCCACTCTTCTTTCTCCCAGCATTCTCAGTTTGGCTGTCCCACCTGTACTTCCTGCTTGGCTACTAGCCAGTCAGTTCTTTATTTAACCAATGAGAGTAATACATATTCATAGTGTACATAAGGATTATTCCATAGCATCTTTCTTTTCTTTTAAACTAATAGGTGATTTTGCCATTTTCAGTGTACATTCTTGGTGTCAGCTATTTGCAGTACCAGGGTCATGTTGGTTGAGGTTTGCAGGCATCCTATAGGATTGATATACTTTATTTTCACTTATCTCTCAGTTTAGGAATCCACCCTCCGCAAATGTTTTGTAGCCCTTTAGGGCATCTTATGCGTATTAAAGGGATATTTATTGTTTTATTCCAGTATTTCTTGTTTTGTTCTACTTATATATACCTAGAGCTATTTCAGAATGTTTAATCTGCTATTTAATTATGGGTATAGTTCAATTTACTTATTCTATATGTTGCAAGGTTAATATATTTAAGAATCCACAGACATTGATATGTTACAAATGGAAGCACTGAATACAGCTGATTTTTTTAGGGTTTTTAAAATATTTTGTTCTTACTCTATTTTACATATTTAAAAATACTAAATAATAAGCAGAAAGAAATTTGTCTATGACATCTGCATACATTTCTATTTCATAAAGAAAAAATAGACTCGCTAAGACTTTATCTAAGAACCCCTGTGTGTACTATACAGGAAAGATTCTCTGGGACTGTATATAAGCACCCTGACGTGGGCAATACAGGACAGAGCAAGTTGAGTAGCTCTGACATTAGAAGAGTAAAACAAATTCTAATACTGCTGTAAACAAAAGGATTACATCTCTTGTGTGGGGCTTCTGAAACTCACTGAAATTCTAGAGCCCACTTGCCTCTTTCTTTCGGATTTAGGCCCAGATAATAAAATGTCATACAATGTCACAGGCCTCTACATCAGCTCCTGCCTTCAGATTCCTGCCCTGTTGGAGTTCCTGTCCTGTCTACCTTTGATGATGAATTGCCCCATGGAAGCGTAAGCCAAATAAACCCTTTCATCTTGAAGTTTCTTTGCTCATGATGTTCATCACAACAATGGTAGCCCTAATTAAGACAGTAGACAATTGGCATTTCCAGGATAATGAACACAAAAAATTCAAACAGAGCATTGTCAGTATAAGCAGTTGATCATATGAAAAGCTTCACCCACTGTCAGAAACACTAGGCAGGAAGAAAGGATAGCTAACTCTGGTGCCTGAAATTGAAAAGATTATCAAACTTTATCTAGCTTTCGTATAATGGGAAAGACTCTCCTCCCAATAAAATGGCTCACCTGGAAATGATAGTATAGTGTTGATTCTGTGGTTTACTTGGCGTTGTTTGTGCTACTTGGGTTTTAAATGACTATTCGATTGTGCTTAGGAGAAAGTTCAAAGTCCTGGTTGGCGGTTTAGCATGGAGTTGCAATAGTCACCGACATGGTTTCACACAAAGGTACCTGCCTGCCTGCTGTCGCCACTCCTTTCACCGTGTACTGATGTTGGTTTTGTGGGTGACTAAGACAACCCACTTTTCTGTTGCACTTGCAAATCCAGCTCCTCCAATATATTTTATTTTAGTAACATTTTTTAAATGTATGCTGTACTCAATTTCTAAGAGTCAGATACTTCAACATCAAAATATTTTGTATTTCACTTGAAACTCACATAATTTAAACTGTTTTCATTGAATTTTATCTAATTGATGGTGTTAGTGATTCTGCCTAAAAGGGAAATAATTAGAAAGGTTAGAGAGAAGTAATATTAGGAAGTATTTTAATGTGTAATGCATTAATTTAAAATATTCTCAGTATAACCTGATAAAATTTCAACACATCAGAAGTGTTTACTGATAGTTTTCTGTATTTAGTCTGCATAAGACATATCCACTATATCTGCTCTTAAGGAGTATAATCAAGGGTTGAGATGGAAATACTAGACCACGGATACTAGAGAAAACAGTATTATTACTGAGCATTTTCAGTGTTTATTACATAGTTTCATATGTAGTAGAGTATTGCTTTTTCCCTTTATGCAAAGATTAATATCTTTCTACTCTTTTCTCTGCTAATTTTTACTCATCTGAAAAAATAAGTAAATGAAATTTTAGCCAGGGATATAACATGAACAGGGTAGGCAACTGACAATAAATTCATATTTATATTGTATTCTAGGCTATAAAACTTTTGTTCCTATGAAATAATCCACATGGGTATTTGATAAATTGAACTTGATGCTACAGAGAATCTGAAAGAATGTACAGACAAGGAATTATGGCACAAAGAAGGATGAGCGCCTCTTCCCACAATTCTTCTCAATGCTTCTTGACTGATGTAGCCTGGATCAAGAACTTTCCAGACTGTTTGGAGAAAGCTTAGTTTTTCCTTATTTGATAACATAAATTAAAAAATACATATAGAAAAGTTTCACATGCTGACCAGGTACTAGTCAACATGCAGGGATATCTACATATTAATATATGTAAATACGCTAGCTGCTTATAATTTCATTTCTTTGCATGTAGATCTGGAAATTTTAGATTTGCACAAAATTTTGAGTCATCAATTTGTGTGCTAAATTAAAAAAATGTTTTCATGCGTACGATATTGAAAATCAATGTGAATTTTGAGGCATGAGGCATTACCATAATGAAAAATAAAAATGAGTTTAAAATTAAATTATTTTCCTCAATTTTTCTTTTCTTCAAATTATGTTTACATCCTAAAACAAAATACCCTTACAAAGTCCCATAACAAAGCCTGTGTTTCTTCTGTGCATACTGTGATCAAAAATATACACAGAGACTATTTAAAGTAATGAAATAAGTCACTTTTTATGTTATTCAGAAAACGGATGTCTCTGCTCTTATTTGGTTCTCAGAGTTATAATCCTATTTATTATGATGCAATTCAGTTTGAAGTAGTTCTTCAAACTACTCCATCACTTTCCTGTCATCACTGTCCAGTAACAAGATGGCTTCTTAATTTCTTACGATAGCTAATGACTTCACAAGTTTTATACAATGCACTTAGAAAACTCTGATTTAAGAGCAAGTCATATACATGGATCCATCATATGCAAACTAATTGATATCTAGCCATCTTGTCTTATGAGTCATGATCTTCAGTTCATCGCATTTCCAAGAAAGAGAGAAACTTGAGTGTGAAGGAGCTTCAAGAAACAGCATGTTCAGTCTATACATCTTATGTGGGGTGCAAAAAATAGGACTGCATAATAATCACAGTATGAATATAATACATATTGTTGTTCAACTAACTCCATATTTGTGGTCCTGCATTGTGTGGCCTGTAGGTCCATTTTATCTATTAATATTGATATATGTTAGTCAGTTTCTTTTTGCTAGTGTTTGCATTGAATTTTCCTCTTCCCTTACTTTCAAGTTCTATGGTTAGATGAATATAGTTCTGATAATAAGCATATACATGTATGTCTTTTGAAACTATCAGTATTTTTTTTTTTTGGTTTTTCGAGACAGGGTTTCTCTGTGTAGCTTTTGCGCCTTTCCTGGAACTCGCTTTGGAGACCAGGCTGGCCTCAAACTCACAGAGATCCTCCTGCCTCTGCCTCCCGAGTGCTGGGATTAAAGGTGTGCACCACCACCACCCGGCCAGTATCTGCCTTAACTGAAGCATTAGTCTAACACATAACTAAGGTATTAGAATGTAAGTATGATTTTATTTTGCATTGTTTACGTATTAATATTCATCTATGCTTTTTCTTTCTCTTTGTATTTGTGGATTACTTACGATAGTTTGAAGGTAGACCTTTAGGAAGAATTTTACTCTGCCACATGTGTGTACTCATGCAGTTACCATTCCAAAGGAGATACAGAGCTGTACTAACTCTCTGTGCCTCCCCTTTATATTCATACTCTTTCCCTCTCCCCTCATCTTTATTCCTAGAAATTGTTGATATCTCTTTATATCTCTATTTTCATAATTTTGAGAACACCTTATGAATGGTGCTCGATTTTCATTAATGCTGTTTTCAAGTGTACCCCTGCATCATTCTCCCAGGGTTCTGATCTGAAACAGTGAGATGCTTAAGCCATATCTTCTTACACTGTGAGACACAAACCCATATGGAATCCTAACTGAACATGGGGCTTCAGAAACATTTGGCAACAGTAAAGGGATTCTGAATTTAGTGACCAAAACATAATTCAAATCCAGCAAGTGATGGATGGACCCAACTGTTTCTGCTAGTGTTTCCTTGCATTGCATCATGTAACTTCACTGAAGACTTGATTCGAAACACACAACATGCACTGAGTGTTTTGTATGGGGCATGCCTTTGTATCTTGCAACATCAGTGAAATCTGTCTGAAAAATTCAACTCAGGTTGAAGAGTTTTGTATGTTATTAATAACAGTGTTTTTTCTTGTACATTTAACATTTTTTCTGCTCTTATGTTTTGTTAGAGGAAAAAGACTTTCAATATTTTTCTACCACTACTCCTTAGCAGGTGTGTACAAAATTAGTATACCTTTGGATTGTAATATGTTAGAATGGCTAATCTTAAAAAATGGCTAAGTTGCAAATGAAATGTATAAAAAAATTAAATAAAATTGGCTTGAGACTAGGACAGTTTCTGAAATAGTCCTCAATGTTCTTGTGGCATTTTGTACCATAACTTTATCCAGCATGAAACTCTAAGCCTTGTCAACTATAAAATCAAAATGTTGATCAACTCTGAGGAACACGAAAGATGATATATATTATATTCTTTTGCGAGGACTTTGGGGGTCCAGCCCCTCGATAGTCCCCTCCCAGGGTCCGGGAAGAATCTACACCCAGCTGATAATTAATCTTTGAAAAAAACAAAATGGATCTATGTACACGAAATTCCTTAGTCCATACATTTTATTATTCCATCAGTTCTCTCTCTACAAGCTTATACTCTGCTCTCAGTTTTAGCTCCTTTATTGCCCAAGTTCTCTTTACTTTTATCTGTTGCCCCCCCCCCCCGGTTCTATCTTATTTCCTTCATCTAGTTCTGCCCCTTCTAGTTTCTCATCCATCTAGTTCTTTCCCATATCAGCTCCTCTCCCGTCTCCTTTCTCTCCCATCTTGTTTTCTCTCATCTTGTTCTTCCCCATCTGGCTCTTCCTCATCTTCCATCTTGTTCCTCTAGTACTCTCTTCTAGCCCTTCAGTCTACTTCTCTCCCATCTCAGTTTGTTCCTCTCAAGTTCTTATCCATCTAGTTCTTTCATTCTCTTTTCCCTTCTCCATCTGCCAGTGCCCTGGAAGTTCTGGCATATATACACTTACAAGCAGTAATCCCTTGGCAGTGCAAAGCCAGGCCTCCAGGGTCAAATGAAGGTGTGATAAGAATCACATAGAGAGGCAATAACCATTAATTGTAATTTGCAACCCCAAAGGGAAGTGACCAATTGTGAAATGAATTAACTAAAGGCTAAATTCAGGTAATATCTAAGAAGAGGGATCTTAACTCAACTATAGTCTTAAACGTGATTAATAGAAAATGTTAAGAATCTATAAGTTGAGCCGGGCGGTGGTGGCGCACGCCTTTAATCCCAGCACTCGGGAGGCAGAGCCAGGCGGATCTCTGTGAGTTCGAGGCCAGCCTGGGCTACCAAGTGAGTCCCAGGAAAGGCGCAAAACTACACAGAGAAACCCTGTCTCGAAAAACCAAAAAAAAAAAAAAAAAAAAAAAAGAATCTATAAGTTGCTAGGTCAATTGGAGAAAATAAAACTACCTTCTTTTTTCCTGTGGCTCCTATCTGTCCAAGCTTTCTGCTGTTTATCTGCAGGGTGGGGAAACGTGTGCTTGGTCGCTAAGCAACCTATGCACAGCTAGATGCCTCTAGTGATAGTTAAAGGGAGATCTGGAACTAGAGGGAAGACTTGGGAAAGGAGGAAGTTAAGCTTAATTGGCACATCCGCCAGGCCTTCTCAAACAGGTAGCCTGGATGGTTAAGTCTGTTCTTAGAGAGTACAGAGGTATCTCTGATAAGGCACTTTCCTCCGTCTGGGGATGGACCTGGCCGGATGCTGCCAATGACGATAATTACAGGGAGGCTTGAACTGGGTTCCTGGCTGAGCATAGCTGTCAGTGCACAAGGTTATTTAAATATTCCTTTAGTAGAGGAGAAATGGTGCCCAAATAATGATGGAAAAGCTACATTAGCACACAAGAAACTCTTAGCAGGAAACAGCTGATAATCAAAAGAGCCAAAAATCACCATGGCTCCTTGAGCCTCAGCTTGACCTCTCTGGAAGGCCCTTGGCTACTTCCAGGTATTAGCTTTGTCATAATCAGCTGAAGTCCTACTTTGTATATTTTTTCAACTTGCAGCACATACCATTAAATACCCAGCCAAGATTCAATGCTTTATGCAAAAATAAACACATCCATCTCATTAGTATGGGAATTTGCTTTTATCTTTAAAAAATAGTAAAATTTCATGTATATAAGTGAGTTACTTTAAAATAATTTTCTTTATGATTTATCAATAAGTGTTTGATTTTTATATACATACATTTAGACATGCAGAAAATGTTTTGTTTTACATTGCTTTATATCATGATGTCACATATAACTCTTTTGGTTTGAATTGGCTCATATGTTTGAATACCTGGTAGGTGCCAGTTGGTGGAAGTGTTAGGGAGGGATTACAAGGAGTGGCCTTGTTGGAGGTGGTGTTTCACTTAGGGTGCAATCTGAGGATTCAAAGCCCTTGCCAGTCCCAGTTAGCTCTCTGTGTCATGGCTGTATCTCAAGACATAAGCTCTCAGCCTCTGTTCCAGGCTCATGACTGCTTGCCTGCTGCCATGCTCCCCACTAAGGTGGTCAAGAACTCTTACTCCTCTGAAACTCTGAGCCTCTAATAAACTCTTTCTTTTATAAATTTTCTTGGTCATGGTATTTTGTCACAGCAATACAAAATAACCAAGACAATGTTTTTCAATAAAAAGGAGTCATGACTGTAAAAGTTCAAGGCATTCTGTTCTAACAAAAAAAAATCCAGGATTGGGTTTACATTTGGCAGACTTCAGTCAAGGGAGTGTTGGCCCTGATTCTCATCAGACCCCTGCTGGAATTGTCTGATTCTGCTAGATTCTAAGCAATATTTGACTGTCATGTCTCATTACAGTTGTGGAAAAGTAAAAATCGACTTGACTTTTGTTGTCTTATGTGAAAACGGGGCACCATTTCCTTAGTGCCATTTAACAGTAGAGGGTGATCATTAGGACCTGCCATCTGTGTTGCCCAGTAGCCTTTTTCCTGGTCTGTTTATTCACAATAAGCTTTTAAAAGGCAACTTGTAAAAGAGCACATCTTTTGTTATTTCCAGGTTGTTTCCTTTTCTAGACTATGATATTAGACCCAACGAGGAAACCCAACTAACTCAGTGCCTCGTTATTCCCAAGCTCTCAGCTGATGTGTCTCTGCTCCCTATTACAAAATCTTCTCATGATCATTTCCTATTAAACAGCCTGAGCTGTTAGCTATACTACTGAGAAGAATAGAAGCAAGATTTCTTATGGCATTGTGTTTAATCAGTGGCAGATCCTATTTAATAATTTCAGTTACTGAGATTTTTTTTTAATTTTGGAATTTAGTGTGTGTGTGTGTGTGTGTGTGTGTGTGTGTGTGTGTGTGTGTGTGTACTTCTGTATGCACACATACATGTGTACAATGCAAAGGTCAAAGGATGTCTTTGGGGACT